TTCAACTGATAGGGGGGACAAACCACTACCTTATCACCCTCGATTAACTCAATTTTATGTTCTATTAGTCATGTGGAGGATAACTCTGTCGGTAACTCCTCCGGCATAGTATCACGAAATTAGTTTAATACCTATTGTATCATTAAAGGTATATCATCTATTCCTATTTTCTTGTCACTCCCCATTAAGAGTAAGCACACAAAAATACTACCTTGGTTCCTTTAGTGAATTGTCCTTTCATGAACATTAGGTTCAAGCAGGAGTCTTTAGCTTTACATTACCCTACCTTTAGACCTTGGATTGTTCTCCTCAGGCATTCGCTAGTGCCATAAGGTTTTTACCTTATCCATGCAAGGCTACCACAAATTAATTGAACTAATCCATCTTGAAGATCACATCAAATCTCACCATATCTAACATAGTAAAATCCATATCCACTTTCCATGTCTCTATTTTGACTCTTGCTTGTTGAAGTACTTCATTGGTGCTTAGCTACCTTAAATAAACTTTATAGTCTTTGGTTCACCCAGCCACTACACCATTAGTCTGGCTTGCTAGATTATGTTTGCAGCCATAAAATTATCTAAAGCACCCATATTAATAAGAAACTTAACAAAGTTACCTTTGAGCTTCCCTTGGAGGGCTAGTAGATGTCGCAAATGACTCTCTACCAAAATTGCTTGTGTAATGAGTAATTTTGAGTTAAGGATTGAATTATATATCTCAATTTGGACTTCACCCAACTTGATGGCTATATTGACTCTGGACTTTTTCGGGTAAAGACATTCTCTCAAAAAGTGTCTTGCTTCACCACAATTGAAATGTATATTCTTTCCCATGTTGCTAGCAAATTTTATTTTCTTATCAATGGGTTTATCCCTTTTTACTTGACTTCCCCACGTACTTGCTCTTTAGCCACTGGATCTACCTTCCCAAAATCTAGAGAAACTTATTTTGAATTTCCTTTTGCCATATACCCCCTTTAGTTTGGCTCCTTTGCTCAATGTAAACCCCAAATATATTGTGTTCCCTTTTTGCATGTTATCATTGAAATACACTTTAATAGCTACATCTAATGCTTCCTTATAGTTAGTTAAATTTCAATGCATCACCTCACCTCAAGCCCAAGCCTATAAACCTGAAGGCATGGAACACATCCATGTCACCCATATCTGTGACAAGTATCCTTTTGGCTATAAACCCATTCAAGAGTAGTATTTGGAAGAACATAAGTTGTATTGTTCCTTGCCTTCATCATTCCAAGTGACCATTAGTCCTTCATTGGCCTTTGTTATTCTCCACAAAGACTTAGCATTATTTACTAAATATAGTTTTGCATATGGGACCTTTTCCAAGCTTGATAACTGCAATGCTTCTATATTGTAAAACTAATCCTCCACCATCTTAGAGTTTTTCACTCCCTTGAAGACTGGTGGGGGCTTTGGTTTGTACTTGGGAACTGCTTAAGAAACTGATTCTACTTTAGTTTATTCGACCTTGTTCGGTTTTGACTCAATCCCTACCAAAGGGTCTATGTTTTCTTGTAAGGAACCAACTCCCTGAGGTGTTATTGGCCAAAAGCACAACCAAAATAACAAAGAGTTCATCTGATGAGATCGAGTCTGAGACTGACTTTGAGATTGATTTTGAGACCGAGTCTGAGATCAAGTCCGAAACCAAATCCGAGACCAAGTTTGACACCAAGTCCGAAACCGAGTTTGAGATCGAGTCTGAGATCCAAGATCGGGTCCAAGACTGAGTCCAAGATCAAGTCCAAGATAGAGTCCAAGGTCAGGTCTGAGATGAGTCTGAGATTAAGTCCGAAATCGAGTCTGAGACCGAATCTGAGGTCAAGTCCAAGATTGAGTCCGAGACCGAGTTTAAAACTAATACAGGTCATGAGGTGAAAGACAAAAGCACGTGTCTCCTAAGGGGGCTATAGAGGGTTCCAAAAGTACAATAGAGATAGTGTGGTCCAAGAAGCAATCTTGAAGGTACTCTCCAGTAATGTTTCCAAACTAACTTGAGGTTAAAGTTGGGGCTTAAGGGCCTTGGGTGGGAGTGAACATAGACTCAAGTGGTGCCGAAGGGGCCACCCAAGAAAGTACTCAAGAGCAATTCCCACTCCCAGAAGGGAAACCGACTATGGTGCTCCTAGCTTATGTAAAGTGGTGCCCCACTTAAGTACCTTGCGGCTCATTGATCCTTGCCCTTTTTAGGGGCTTAGGCCTTTCTTGCGGGATGGAATTGAGGGAGTAGGGGTACCCATACTGGGCTGTTAGGCCACAGTGTTTCCCCCCAATTTCTTGAAGCAAGTTTTTCATCCAAGGTTTGGGATTTAAAGGGTCCTATATCAACTCTTGTTATACCAAGGGATGTTAGGAACCTGGAGGTTTGGTGTGCTTGACTGCTCATGCCTGTGGGGACTATAGCTAAACCTTAAATCTAATTGAGAGAGAGTGTGGGAATCCGTGGACAGATAGGTAATGCTTTGTTGCTCATGCAGTAAATAGTTGAAACTAAGTAGAACCAAGTAAGAGCTAGTATAGTAGATAGAAATTTTGGTGAGAGAACTTAACTAAGGCCAAGGCTATAGTGGTTGGATAAACGAGCTAATATAGTAAATTGGAAAGGAAAAATTCATGGCTTACAATTTGGTATCGAAGCTTTTTCCTCAGTTCTAGTGAAGTATAAAGATGGATTGTTGAGAGATGGCTAAAGCAAGGCATAAAAGAACTAAGGCAAAGACGGAACTTCCTCCGGAGCTAGAGCCTCCAATCGAACAAGAAGCTATAGATAAGGAATCCTTGCACAATGAAGACTTAAGTAAGGAATCTTCCAAACATGAGTCTAGTGGAGAAGTTCGATCATTCAAGGCTTAATTAGACGTTCTAGAAGGACAATTGGCACAGACCAATACCCTACTATAGACCTTCATACACAAACTAAAGCATGACAAAAAGCGAAAGAAAAGGCAAAAGACTATAGAGGCTGGTAGTGTAGAAGGCATAGACCCTTTGATGGGGACTGAGGAAGAACCAAATAAGGTTGAACAAATTGAAGTGGAATCAATCCCCCAAATAGTTCTCATGTACAAACCAAAGCCCCCACCATTCTTCAAGGGAATGAATGACTATAAGGTAGTGGAGGATTGATTTTATGATATGAAGGATTATTTCCGAGTGTTGTGGTTACTAAACTTAAAGAAAGTCCTATGTGCAAAACCATACTTAAGAGATAATGTTAAGTTTTGGTGGAAAACAACAAAAGCCAACGAAGGACTAGTAGTCGCTTGGGAAATTATAAAAGCAAGGATTTGTGCAACCTATGTTTTGCCGAATACTACTTTGCACTTAAGGGATGAGCTAAATAGGCTGAAGCAAATGGGAACCATTCAAGAATATATGAATGCATTTATGGCGAAGAGGATCTTTGTCACGGACATGGATGCATTCCATGCCTTCATATTAGGCTTGCAAACCTGGGCTTAAGGTGGGGTGATGCATTGGAACCCAACCAACTACAAGGAAATGTTAAATGTAATTATCAAGTTGTATTCAATGATAACCTGCAAAAGGGGAACACAACAAGGTTGGGGTCTATATTTAATAAATGAGCCAAACCAAAAGAAACATATCCTAAAGGAAAATTTAAAAAAAGCTTCTTTAAGAATGAGTCCTTGGGGTTTCGGAAAGTGTTAATTTGCAAAGTTCTTCACATTTTTTAAAAGTACCTTGAATCTTCCAACTTGGTTGACCACTTGAGTACCAAACCAATCATCTTGTTCACGGAGGACAAATGAGGTGAAGTGTGTGGTATTGTCTCTCCCTTGGGAACCTTGTACTATGTCTATGGCTACTAACATTAGTGTGCGATCCAAGATCATGGTGTTACAATCAAAGTTGCAAACCATGCTATCAAGAGAAATGTTGTTTGGACCGACAAGCACCACATTTGTCTTGTTGTTGTGCTTGACCACATCCTTGAAAGTTACGTCCATGTTTTGCTGCTTCCAAGTCAAGTGATTTCGAAACCAGTGACACAGGATCCTGTGATCCTGAGAGGCACTGTGACACAAAGAGATTATATAAGCATAACTGAGAAGAGCAAGTCATATGATTCATGAGCTTACCGTAAGTGACAAGCTTCCACTGGGAGTTTCCACCATGGGTGGATGTCACCACTGGCACCCTGTCTTTAAAGCTGGAGTGTGGCTCAAGAATACGGACGAATTCCCAGTCATTGTAATGGAGACTTGATCGTCCGAGCTTGCGGATACAGACCAGAGGAGAGGATTGTCCTCAACTACCGGATCATAGTCTCCAACAGTTGCCTTGAAGATTTCATTTAGAGCAATGAAGTGTGAGGAAAGCATGCAGTAATTTATACCTTGACAATTCAAATTTTAATTTATTACACAAGAATATTTTTTAAGAACGCTAATACAGAATATTTATTAGTTAACCGTCTTCCCTTTTTGCCAACCTAAACACATTCGTTTTGTTGGGAAGTATATGAATTGATTACAAAAACTGGTGACATTGATCATACTGCAGCTGATTAAACATTTAGAAGTGTAATTATTCATATGAACATTCATGCATAGATCTAGCATCTTCTCATCTCATTTATGAACATAGCTAAACATTGTTCACTGGATTGAATTTCCAGGTCTGCTGCTCAACATATCCTTGGTTTGCAGATGCCGGGCGAAGAACGAGAGGATGATATCACGCACTGTTCTGGTCCTGATCGTCGTTCTGCAGAGACCACTGCAAGTTCGTTCCATCCAGATTGATGGCCACATAGTCCGTGTTTCAAGCCTGGAATCGGTCCTCAGACCACACAAAACCGTAGTCAAGAGGATCAAATTGAGTCAAGAGCACCTGCCATGAAAGGTATCTTTTGTTTAGCTTGCAAAGTCCTTCAAAAGTTTTAGGACTTACCTTGTCTCCTGAGTGCTAGACCAGTCTTGTTTATTAGGATAAACGAGGTAAAAGTACGTGGTATTGTCTCGGCCACCAGCAGGAACCTTGAACCATGCCTATTACAATAATACGAATGAGATCCAAGATGATAGTGTCAGACAAAGTCACAAACCATGCCGTCGAGAGAAATGTTGTTTGGACTAACAGCCACCACGTTTGTCTCGTCGTTGTGCATGATTGCATCCTTGAAATTACGTCCACATTTTGCTGCTTCCAAGTCAAGTAATTGCCAAACCAGTGCACAGAATCCTGTACACATGCGAAGGCACTGTGCAGCACAACGAGAAAAATCAAAAGGAATTGACCAGAAGTCTAGAGGATTACCATAAGCAACGATCTTCCACCTAGAGTTTTCACCCTGGGAAGATGTCACCACTGGCACTCCGTCTTTAAAGCTGGACCTCGACGACGCAGTGTGGCTCAAAAACACGGACGAATTCCCAGTCTCTGTGACGAAGACTTGATTGTCCGAGCTTCCGGAAATAGACCAGAGGAGAGAATTGTTCTCGACTGCCGGATCATAATCTCCAACAGTAAGCTGGATCAGAGCTTGATAGAGAAAAATTCAAGTGTGAGACAAACTTGTCGTGATTTATATACCTTGGCAATGCTCCGGATGACTGGGAGCGAAGAGCTTTCTTGGAGCCGTGGTTTATAAACACCAACGCGGAGAGGTCACTGTTATCCTCGCTCAGGAACTGCCATGACTCATCCCTGTACCAGAGCTGCACAAGAGATCAAAACCAAGATGCTAGATCTGGATTGACACAGATTGATACCTGGAAGGGATTGAGCGCATCCTTGAACTTGAGAACAATCTGGGTGCCTTGCTGAGTAATGCAGTAGCCAAGACAAGCAGTGGACTCGATGGTGTAGAGCTTTGGAACTGCTGTGAGAGGTTCCATTTTTAAGAGCTAGAGTAACTCTGAGATCTAGGCCCATTTTATACCACCACAACCTCGTGGAGCGCATGGGAATTCATCGAGGGATAAGGAGGCAAGTAGGACCGAACTAGTCACCTATCGGACTGCAGGCGATTGGCTAGGTTTACAGAGAATGCGAGGGAGGAGGGAGCGAAAAATAGAAGCAGCCGCCCAAGCAGCGGCGGCGGCATCGAACTGTCGCTGGCGTCCCTGATCTGCGAAGGTGAGGCAAAATCTCGCTGCGATTGTTGGATGTGAATTGATCGGTCTTTCTTGCGAGAGAAATGTAGGCTTGCAGCGCCCTGGATTTTTCTTTTTCTTACGAGATTTGGACGCTTCTACGCTTGAGTCGGTCCAGCATCATGGTAAGTTTCTGGATCATATTTTATTCTATCTCCTCGTCTTCTCTTTCATTTGTTTCGGATGCTTGCAAAATCTATTTGCTTATCCTTGGTATAGCGTAATGTGCAGTTCAAAATCTACGAGCCACTGGAATACGAATTTGACGTCTGCGAAACTGGGAACAGGTATTTTCCTGCAAACTTTGCTCTTCATTGCTCTGGAAGTAACACTTTGAGGTTGCAGCATCGGAAACTTCCCGATGGCTGGATGGACTACGCTGCGAAACGAATAGCACAACTGTAAGCTAAGCTTCACGTTGATGGAAGTTTTTTATATCGTTGTGCAGGGGTGCAGCTAACTGTTCCAAGAACATATACTATCGCCAAAGCCATTGTTTTGGCCGCGCCAGTTTGAGATAGGTGGGAAACTTGGAAGACGGAGTTTGGAAAGGAGATAGATGCTCGCGATATTGTCATCTGAGACAATGAGGCACCAGTGACCACGGTAATCATCTAAAACTTGCATCTTACTGAGAGCTCACAAAAGTTTATTTATTTATTTATTTTACATTTCACAGAAATACACAAAGCATATTGCCATGAAACGGAGTTTTCGGTTGATGCTCGTGGAGTCGTAAGAAACCTGCTTGAGGTTGCAAAGGGATCTGGTACGTAGTAAATTCTAGACTCAGTGGATATGTATGGTTTTATGGTCTATATGGAATGATAGTCGATAGTCATAATGTTTTTGTTTTTTCTTAAATCTTCGATTTTTGCAGACACTGGAAATGAACGAAAGTTCATGGCTTCCATGGGAAAAGGAAACAAATGGGGAGTGCTCAGCTTCTTTTTCCCGTGAAAAGTCTTGTTATTTGCAAGAAGAAAAGTGGTAAGCGGTCCCTTATGTATACAACATGGCTGATAGTCAATTCCCTGCCACCACTGGATTGAATTTCCAGGCCTGCTGCGTATTAAATACTTGGTTTGCAGATGCCGGGCGAAGCACGAGAGGGTGATACCACGCACTGTTCTGATACTGATTGTCGTTCTGCAGAGCCCACTGCAAGTTGGTTCCATCCAGATTGATCGCGAGATAGTTCGTTTTTGAAGCCGGGAATCGGTTCTCAGACCACACGAAACCGTAGTCGAGAGGATCATATTGAGTCAAGAGCACCTGCCATGATCATCCAATTCGTTTAGTTTGCGAACTTCTTCAAGTTTTCAACAGTGTGCACTAGTTACCTTGTCTCCCGGCTTGGTTGACCCCTTGAGAGCAAGACCAGTCACCTTGTTTATGAGAACGAACGAGGTGAAGTACGTGGTATCATCTCTTCCTCCAGCGGGAACCTTGTACCATGTCTATATGTAATCGAATAGAATGAGATAAGATTACAAAGAACGACAAAAGTACAAACCATGCCGTCGAGAGGAACGTTGCTTGGATGAATAGCCACCACGTTTGTCTCATCGTTGTGCTTGACTGCATTCTTGAAAGTTACGTCCACATTTTGCTGCTTCCAAGTCAAGTATTGCTCATACCAGTCGCATATAATCCTGTACTCTTGAGAAGGCTCTGTGCAGCATCATCATATGAACCACAACCGAGAAGAACAAATCATATGCTTACCGTAAGTGACGAGCTTCCAGTGGGAGTTTCCATCGCTGTTGGATGTCACCACTGGCACCCCATCCTTGAAGCTAGCACTTGAGGAAGTGTGGCTCAGAAAAAATGACTTGTTTCCAGTCATGGTGATCAAGACTTGATTTTCGTGGCTCCCGGAAATACGCCACAGGAGATAATCGTCTTGGACTGCCGGATCATAGTCTCCAATAGTAGCCTTTTGCCATCAAAATTCCATATGATCAGCAACAGTGTATAGTATGAATACTGTTTTCTGTTTACCTTGCTTCGAGACGTTGAGTGTGCCTGGGACCGGAGAGCTTTCTTAGAGCCGTGGTTTACAAACACGAACGCGGAGTCCTGGTTCAGCAAGTTCCATGACTCATCCCTGTACCACAGCTGCACAAGAGTTTCCCATGATGATCGACAACCGGCAAAGTTTCCAAAGATTTTACCTGGAAGGGGTTGAGCGCGTCCTTGGACCTGAGAACAATCTGGGTGCCTTGCTGAGTAATGCAATAGCCAGGATAAGCAGCAGACTCGATGGTGTAGAACTTTGGAGCTGCTGTGAGAGCCATGTCTCTAAACTCTTAAGAAAAGACTAAAGCTTTTGAGAAGCCAAAGGGATGAGTGTGAAGTTATAGAGCTCTTTGAACGTATGCCAATTTATATAGTGGCAAGCTTCTCTCGCATTATCCCATGTGTTTCACACTGTCTTCCACTTCCTTACGCTTCTTACACTGACTTTGTGCCTGCCATATCCCATGTGTTTTTTGTGCCTGGTAGCGTTGGTTGAAAGGTTGAGTTATAAGCAAGCTTATCCATGGTGTAATAAAAAATGTTTTAAAATTATTTTTAATGAATATATTAGTGATATAATATCTAACAAATATTAAATTTATTTATTGATAAGGGTAAAGTCACAAAAAGATGAAAATTAATAAATGTAAGTTAATAATATAAAAACTTAGAAATCATTATTTTAGGCGTCGCAACGCTTGTTTTGTTAGAAGAAATTATTTGGCGAAGGAGGCAACCACGAGTGAACTGGTGACCTATCGGACTGCAGCCGATTGCTCTACCTCCATTAACATGTTAATTAACTGAGTCTGCTTTAATCTGACAGCTGAGCGAGCTAGGTTTACAGGGACGAGCGCGCTTGATCAGTGCGTAGGAGAAAATGGCATGGAAGCAGCCGCCCAAGCAGCAGCGACGGCAGCGACCCTTGCTACTGTCGCTCCCACTCGCGATTGCGGCGCTGGTGTCCAATTTTCTCGATCTTATATGTTCTTTCCTTTGTTTTCTTCGTTGGAGAGTAGTGATACTTCAATGCTTTCCTTTTACAGGAAAGAAATGGGCTTGGATTGACTGCAACCGTGAAGGATGCTTGCAAGATCGTGCTGAAATATCCGGAGGGAACAAATAGTACCTGGGTAAGCAACTAGAAATATTTTTGCGTGATCGAAGCTTACAAGTTTACTCGGTACAGCGTAATGAGCAGTTAAAAATCTACGAGCCACTGGAATATGAATTTGACGTCTGCGAGACGCTGCTCCTGTGGGAACAGGTACTTTGCTGCAAGTTTTGCTCTTGATTCAAATAACACTTTTGAGTTTGCAGTATCGAAACGTCACAACGATATTGACTCGCGAGTATTTGGATGCACGTCCCGATGGCTGGATGGACTACGCTGCAAAACGAATAGCTCAACTGTAAGCTAAGCTTGATGTTGATGGAAGTTTTTAATCTAGTTGTGCAGGGGTGCAGCTAACTGTTCCAACCGAAGCCTGTGCGAAGAACATCTCGAGTTGATACTACCGCCAAAGCCACCGTTTTGGCCGCGCCAGTTTAGGACGTGTGCGGTGGTGGGAAACTCGGGAGACCTTTTAAAGACGGAGTTTGGAAAGGAGATAGATGCTCACGATATTGTCATCCGAGACAATGAGGCACCAGTGACCACGGTAATCACCTCACAAAGGTTGCGTACTACTGAGCTCGCAAAAGTTGCTTTCATTTCACAGAAATACGCAAAGCATGTTGGCATGAAACGGAGTTTTCGATTGATGGCTCGTGGAGTAGTAAGAAACCTGCTTGAGGTTGCAAAGGGATCTGGTACGTAGTAGAAGTCTATGAACGAAGTACTGGCTTAATGCAAAAGAGGATTTTTGCAGATGATGAAGTGTTGATTATCAAGAGTGTTATCCATCGGGACTTCAACGCTAAAATAAAAGTAATAGGGCCTTTGACGCTTGCTATGCGGTTTGCTAACTGAGTTTTATCTTTTACAGCTTCTTCCGAATCCTGTCTACTTGTTCCAAGGTGTAGTTTTCCGTCGGGGAGCGAAAGGGACAGGCATTAAGTCTTTGGAGCTCGCCTTGTCAATGTGTGACTCGGTGGATATGTATGGTTTTACGGTGGATCCAGGCTACACGGAATGGTATTGACTCACACTCCTTCCAACTTATCATTGTACCATTCTTTTCATCTATAGGACTCGTTACTTCTCGGCTCCTCGCAAGGGACACAATCCACTACAAGGCAGAGCCTACTATCAACTGTTGGAATGCCTCGGGGTAAGAAGAACGACTATGGATTATCATTGACAGTCTCCGTGCATACAGACAATGAGGCTGCATTCTCCAATGCGAGAAGCCAGAAAGCAAGACTGGTCGGTCATTCCGACCCGACCGACAGTAAACGCAGCCTACTACGCAGCAATGGGACTCAAACGAAAGCCAGGCAAAGACCAGGGAGCTTTCAAGAACTGCAAAGTATGGGGAAGTTCATCTCGAAATGGACGCCTGTCAGGATCAAAAGACATGAACGAGACCCGCAAGAACTCAAACTACGCAATGTGGGAGAAAACAAGCGTGAACTCCCTGAGAAGTGAAGCTCAACACCATTACCGCGCCATGGAAGGCGTCACCATGTACAAGATCGATGGCAACAAGCTCGAGGACCTGGTGTGCATCAGACCACAGCAGGAGCAGCAGCGCAGCCATGGGAAACAAAAAAAATCTTAGTGACTCTCGACGAGGATGCAACACTGGCGCTTTAGCATACTGCCCGGCTCTGGCAGCTCGCCGTGCGTCACTATGGATCCGGCAAGAAGCTAACAGGCTCGTCCAGGCAGAGCTCCCCGGCTGCGATGGCATGCATCGGCCTCTTCCTACTGGCCAGAGCATCCGAGGAGATCAACCATGCAGCGGCAGTGATCTCCGAGCAAGGAAAGCCCGTAGTTCACAGTGATGGAGCAGAAGATCTCGTACGCAACTTCGAGCAGACCAGCGTGGCTACACGCAGCTAGAACGCAGACGAACGTGGCTTGATCCGGCAGCATTCCTTTCAGGTGGAAGCTGTGGATGATCTTGAGGGACCGGACGATGCGACTAGCTTGGCCGTAAATCGCGATCATCCAAGAGACAGGACTTCGATCCAACAAGATCTTTCTGGCCAGGCCTGGAGCACAAGACGCCGCTGCGAGCCGGCATGGTGTGGAAGAATCTAGACATCGCCGCTTTGGGCTTACGAAGTCGGGGGACATCTCGAAGATCCTGGGAGCTGAGGCGATCTTGCCGGAGATTAGCCTGGGATCATCGTGTTTGCAGAGACGATGATCGAGCCGATCATGATCAAACAGGGAGTTTTATTTGCAAGAAGAAAACTGGTAATGAGTACAGCATGGTTCATGGTTAACTGCCTGCCACCACTGGATTGAATTTCCAGGCCTGCTGCTCAAGATATCCTTGGTTTGCAGATGCTGGGCGGAGCGTGAGAGGATGGTACCACGCACTGTTCTGGTACTGATCATCGTTCTGCAGAGGCCACTGCAAATTTGTTCCATCCAGCTTGATCGCGAGATAGTCCGTGTTTGAAGCCTGAAATCGGTTCTCAGACCACACGAAGTCGTAGCCGAGAGGATCATATTGAGTCAATAGCACCTGCGATGATCGTCAAGTTCAGTTTGCAAAGTTTTCAAAGAGTGCTTTGTTGACTCTTTGAGTGCTAAACCAGTCACCTTGTTTATGAGGATGAACGAGGTGAAGTACGTGGTATCGTCTCGGCCTCTGTATTATGATAACACATGTGAGATCGAAGATGATAGTGTCAGATCAAAGTTACAAACCATGCCATTGAGAGAAATGTTGTTTGGACTAACAGCAACCACATTTGTCTCGTCGTTGTGCTTGATTGCATCCTTGAAAGTGACGTCCACATTTTGTTGCTTCCAAGTCAAGTACTGCCCAAACCAGTGACACAGAATCCTGTACACTTGAGAAGGCTCTGTGCAGCACAACGAGAAGATCAAAGGGAATTGGCCACAAGTCCAGAGGATTACCATAAGTGACGAGCTTCCACCAGGAGCTTCCACCGCTGGTGGATGTCACCACCGGCACCCCGTCTTTGAATTTCGAACTTGAGGAAGTGTGGCTCAAGAACGCAGACGAATTCCCAGTCATTGTGATCGAAACTTGATCGTCCGAGCTTTGGCCAACAGACCAGAGGAGAGAATCGTCCTCGACAGCCGGATCATAGTCTCCAACAGTAGCCTTTCATTTCATTTTGAGCAAACGTAGACAAGCTTGCAGTGATGCTATATCTTGACAACGCGTCGAGATGTTGAGATTTCCTGGGAGCGGAGAGCTTTCTTGGAGCCGTGGTTTATAAAACACAAACGCAGAGAGGCCACTGGTATCCTGGCTCAGGAACTGCCATGACTCGTCCCTGTACCACAGCTGTAGAAGAGTTTCCCCATCAAAACCAAGATGATAAAAATTTGGATAAGTTTTAGATCTGGATCCTGGAAGGGATTGAGCGCGTCCTTGGACTTGAGAACAATCTGGGTGCCTTATGAGTAACATAGTAGCCAGGATAAGCAACTGATTCGATGGTGTAGAACTTTGGAGCTGCTGTGAGAGCCATTGATCTTATAAGAAACACACTAGAGAGGAGTGAGCGTTAGGCTGGAAAGTACGCCATTTTATACTACCACAACGTGGAGCGCATGGGAACATGGAATCCGAAGTTTGTGCTTTCTTTAATTTTTTTCTTGGTACTTGTTTGTTAACAACAATTCGCTGACGAACACTACTGTGAAGTTAAATGCTTCACGGTAGGACTATAAAGACAATAAGTTAAAAAGTTTTATGGCTCACAGTTGTGCATGACATAGAAATATATTAAGGAGGCAATCTAAAATCTACGAGCCACTGGAATATGAACTTGACGTCTATGAAATGCTGCTCCTGTGGGAACAGGTGGTCTATTTTGCTACAAATTTCAAGTTGACAGTATCAAAGCTTCACAACAATATTCAACGTTTTACAGCTCTACATGGAGGATATTGTTTTGTGTTCTTCATTGACACTTAGTGAATCTCGACGAGGACATTGGTGAGCAAAACTGGTGCTTTAGCATACCACCCGGCTCTGGTGGCTCGCCGTGCGTTGCTATGGATCCGGCAAGAAGCAAGCAGGCTCATCCAGGCAGAGCTCCCCAGCTGCAATGGCATGCAACAATATTCAACGTTTTACAGCTTTGAGACAAATCGGGATCAAAGCGCACCACGCTAACATTGTGTAACACTCCCCCCAAACCGAAGCCACTCACCAAACCAAATCTATTGCATAGGAGCTGAAACTGGTGTGGCCCCAATGGCTTGGTGAGAAGGTCGGCTGGCATGTCCTGTGTCCTGAGATGTTGAATGGCCAAGATGCCACCATCAACCAACTCATGCACGTAGTGAAATTGGACTTCAATGTGCTTTGAGCGAGCATGGTGGACAGGGTTCTTGGACATGGCAATGCTGTTTCAATTGTCACACCAAGAGGTAGTGGGGCCAGCTTGTGCACACCCAGCTCAGCAAGTAACCATTGCAGACCACGTCCCTGCTACCAGTATTGAGTGTGATGTACTCTGCTTCTGCATTAGAAAGTGCCACCACAGATTGTTGCTTGGAGGCCCATGTGATGGCACCTCTTGAGCACATGCTAGAAGTCAAGCGATAGCCTTTGTTGTTGGCAAAACTAGCATCCATGCAGCATGTCAATGATGCATCACCCCTTGAATAAGCAATGTTGTAGTCTATAGTGCCCCGGAGGTATCTCACGATACACTTGGCAGCTTGCCAATGTATGGTGGTTGGTGATGTGTTGTATTGACTCAAGGCAATAGTTGCATATGTGATGTCAGGGCGAGTCATCAGGGCCAAATACATGAGGCAACCAATGAGATGCCAATAGGGAGTCCTATTGGGTAGAGGCTCACCAGACTGCTCAACTGTGAGGTCGATAGCACCAGCAACCATCGGGGTCTTGATGGGGTGGCAATCACACATACCAAACCGATCCAACAAGACTTCGACTTTACGTCATTGACTAAGCATGTAGCCACCAGACTCAGGATCGCATGTGACTTCAAAGCCAAGAAAGTAGGAGACTTGGCCAAGGTCCTTCATTTGGAATTGCTGGCTGAGAGCAGCTTTCAGAGCAGCAATGGCATCCATGTCATCACCCATAATGAGCAAATCATCAATGCAGAGGGCCACAATAAGCATGCTCTCAACATGACCATTCACATACACATTATGATCAACATGGCAGCGACAAAAGCCCTGAGTGCGTAGGGTGGCATCAAATTTTTGATACTAAATATAGCTCTATTTTAGGCCATATAAAGCTTTCTGCAATTGCCATGTACAGTCACCAGGGTCAAAACCAGGAGGTATATGCATATAGATGTCCTCTTGCAAATCCCCATTCAAAAATGCAGTTATGGTGGACTTGCCATTTGCAAGCAGTTGCAAGTGCAAAAAAAGTATGGAGGCTGGCAATTTTTACAACTGGTGAGAATGTTTCATTATAGTCAAGGCCATGAACTTAGCAAAAACTGTGAACAATCAACCGTGCCTTATAACGTACAACTTGACCATTTTTCCCATACTTTTTGGAAAAAGTCCATTTTGGATCCAAAATATGTCGTCTTGGTGGCGCTGAATCAACTGGAACATTAATTTTGTTAAACCGAATGGAAGAAACTTCTTCCGCAATGGCTTCCATCCAAGATAGAGCCTCAGGTCCTGAGACGGCCTTATCATGGGTCATGGGGATGCCAATGTCAACAAGGCCATAAAAGTCATCAAGCTCTGCAGCATCTACTTCAGCATTTTCCTGGACTTTCAACAAGGGCCAATGTTCCTAGGGGTGATCAAGAACTAGCATCAGATTAGGCATGCCACGACGTCAACAAGGTGGTGGAGGTGTCAAAGGCTTGTCCTCGACTGGAGGAGCATCAGCTGGTTCAAGCATGTCCAGAAGTGGAGGATTCCCCAATGGAATCTCTAGTGGCAACTCATGAATAGGATCTTAAGGTGGATGCAAGAGTGGACCATCTCCCATAAGTGGGATCAAAGGAACAAGTGGAGTCTCAGCAATGAAAGAAGGATCTTGAAGAGCCTCTGTAAACATGGGAAAGCCATCTTCATTGAACATGACGTCTGTGCTTACAAGAGCCTTGTGAGATGCAAGATCCCACAACTTGTAAGCTTTTCTCCCGATAGTGTCGTCTTGTGCATATCCCACGAAGATGAAGTTTTTACTTTTGGGATCTAGCTTTTTCCGAAGTTGATCAAGGGTATGTGCGTATGCTGCACAACCGAAGACCTAAAAGTGGGATACATCAGGAATAGAACCTATCCAAAATGCCTTAGGGGTTTTTCCATCCAAAGCAGCCGTGGCAAGGTGATTTTGGACATGCATTCCTGTGGCTATGGCCTCTTGCCAAAACATCTTGTTAAGATGTGCATCAGCTAACAAAGCACGAGTAACATTGACAAGAGTGCGATTCTTTCTTTCTGCAACACCATTTTGCTGGGGGGTGTAGTGGGCTGTGGCTTGCAATTGTATGCCTACATCACGACAGATGCCCTGAAGCTCATTGTTGAGGTATTCATCACCACCATCAACTCAAAGAGTTTTTATCTTTCGACCAAGGAGATTTTCAACATAGGCCTTGTACATTTGAAAGGTAGCAATTGCATCATTCTTATGCATCAAGAAGTGGATGCATGTTCGACGGCTATAGTCATCAATGAATGTGATGAAATAGCTTGCACCATCATGACTTGGCACGTCCATAGGGCCGCAAAAATCAAGTCCAGAAGTCCAAAAGTCCAATTGCTCAATGCTTGCTCAGCAAGAAATTCCGGTGGTGATGCTTACCTAAAACTCAAGCTTCACAAAATATAGATAGGATATGTTGGAAATCCAATCCAATAACAATATCTTAGGATTTCATCCATTGAAGAGATTGGTAATGGACATGACCAAGTCTCTTATGCCAAGGCTCCACATGAGAATCTGCCTCCACAGTTTGAAAGGCTTGAACTTAGTCGGCAACAGTAATCTCATACAAGACCCCAATGTGTGACCCACGAAGCAACTGTGTACCAAGCATGTGAAAGTCACTAGAGTCAACAAAAGAGACTCCCTTTGCATCAAAGACTACCACTACATTTTGATCACATATCTTGGCGACGGACATTAAGTTTTATTGCAAGGTGAAAACATGCATGGGACCATCAAAGGCCAATGATCAAGTGAGAGCCAAAATTGCCCGATGCCTTCCATGGGGAAAGTGGTATTGTCACTTAAATGCTCGGCTGATAACACTTGAAAAGACTCTTCTTATTGCCCATA